CCTGCGGCTTTGGGGGACGGTGACGGGGCGACCCGACACCTGCCAGGATGGGGGGCCAGCACGCGCCCCGTCGTGAAGGCCGGAGCGGCCCTGCGCCGGAGTGGGGTCCAGGATGAGCACCCGGGCGGGGGTCACACTCACCTCCCAGCCTGGCGCGCTTGTCCCCAGCGCGCAGCGCCCTTAGCGCAGGGCACGCTCTCGAGGGCTCCGCGGGGGTCCCCAGGCCTCCCACACCCGGCCTCGCCCTCGGCGCACGCCGCGGACCCCACGGAGTTGAGCTCTGGCGGCTGCCAGGCCCGGCCCGGGTGTGGCCTCTGGCGCCGGGTTCGCAGGACTCGGACCCAAGGTCGCTGCTGAGCCGCCGCCGGCTGAGGGTGGGCGTGAAGTGGGGGCGGGGCGGCCCAAGGGCCTGGAGCGCCTGGGTCTGCGCCACGTCCCGCAGGGTTGCCCTGGTCCCCCGGCCACCAAGAACCGGGTCCCAGCTGGGTCGGGTCACGGTAGCTATTACCCGCCTACGGATCTGCCTTTTACAACTCACACTTCTAAAGAAAACTACACATTCAAAAAAATAGCTACAAAACAAAAATAAAGTCACCGATTCCAAAGGAACAAATCTTTGAATTACCCGAGGAGGGGGATCTGAAGGGGAGAGAGAACGGTGTGTCTTAAGGCGCTGCCTCGAAAGGCGACGTGACCCCTGAGCTCACAGGGTCTGAAGCGTTTCAAAACGAGAAGTCCGCGCTTGGAAGTTTTCGTGAAGGAAGGCGGCACAGAGACCCGCTTCTCCAACGAGAAAAGTGCCTGCGCGGCCCCGGAGACGTGGCTGCGGGCGCGAAGACGGGGTAGTTTAACCCCAAGACTTTCTGTTTTGAAGCAGGACAGATGTCACCAATCTTGGATCCGGGCACCAGGAGCAAGAGAGGGCGCGGGCTCAGGCCGGACGGTGCGTTCCCAGCCGGGTCCAGGCGGCCTCCGCCCGGCGCCCCCGCCACCAGCCGCCCCGGCCGGGGGCGATCGGAACCGAGGGCTTAAGAAAGCAGAGGGAGGATGCCCTCGGTTCAGGCGCTGTCGCCGCGGCGCGTCCTGGGGAGGAGCCGGGTTCGGAGCTGCAGGGGAGCGGCCGGCGAGGCCCGTCGGGGCTGGGTTTCCCGTTCTGTCGACCGCGGGGAGGGTGTGGGACGCCCCGCAGGCAGGACGGTCGCACTCGGAGGTGAGCTGATCGGCCCGGAATGAACCTCCCCTCCATTCCCGCTCTGGATTCCGTTTTGCAAAGTAGGATACAAACCCGCTGCAAGTGGGAGAAATAGGGACTCACGGAAACCGGCCGGGGCAGTGGGGGCTGGAGGGGAGCTGGGCCCAGGACCCTCCGGGCAACGCAGAAGCACCCAGACCCCGGCCGCCGGCCTTGCCCAGTCCTGCCCGTTCCAGACTCAGCTTCCCGGTCTGTGCAGGGGTCGGGACCCATCGCCCAATAGGCTCCAGATCCCCCCTTTCGCGGAGGCGCCGGGGGCGAAGGACGGTTGGGCTGGAGGGGGATGGTCTGGACCTGCGCGCCGGAGCAGAGGGTTGAGGGGTTCGTTTAAGGAGGCAGGTGACCCCCTCCCCCGCGTCGCCCTTCCAGCCGGGCTGTGGGGTCCAAGTAGCGGAGCAGCAGTGGGGAGGGGGCCCCACCCGGCGTCCGGGCGGCGCCGGGACCCCCCGCCACCCGAAGCCCCCCGACGCCCGGCCGCGGGAGAGAGCGGCTGGCCCCGGGCGTGAGGTCACCTTTTCCACTGCGCCCGCCGCGAGCGGAGCGTTTCCGGGATTTGCGCGGCGGCGGCGGCTGGAGGCCCCGCGGGTCCCAGGCGTCGCCCGGCGGCTGCGCCCCTGGGGTGGGGGCTGGGGGCCGGGCGCGGGGGCCCCTCCGCCCAGGCCCAGGGCGCTTCTCCTCTCTAGGCCTCCGTTCCCGGCGGGGAGGTGGGACCCGCTCTCTGGGGACTCTCTGCCGGCCAAGGACACCGCATTCCCCGGGCAGAGGAAGCCCCGCCGCTGTCTGTGTGCAGTTTTTTCGCCTAAAAGGGGTTTATCTGCGCGTCTGCTTTGGGATCGCGCCAGAGGGAGACCGTGCCTGCGGGGGCGAGATCACAGGCCTACCCACCTAGGGGAGGGCCTTGGGGGGGGTGACAGGGCGGGGGTTGGGCTCTTTCAGCCCTTTGGGCCAGTCAAGGCCTCGGAATACTCCCGCCCGAGCAGGGCATTCCCCAAAGAGCCCGGGGCCTCATTCCCGTGGCCGCCTGCGCTCAGGCCTCGGCCCAGGCCCCCAGGAAACAGCCCCCGCGGGTGTCCAGGGAGCTGGGGGGGCACTCTGCCGCCTCAGCACCTGTGAAATGGGATGGGGGGCTGAACAGCGTTAGTCTCCTGACTCACTCAAACCCAGAGGTGAGGCCTGGATCCTGAAATGAACTTCTACCCAACCCCCTTCCCCCCCCCCCCCCCAGGGCGCACTGAGGACAAAATGGGCTGGGTGAGGGCTGATCAGTGTGATCCCAAGTCTGTTGATCCGGCCCAGCTTCCATCTGGAGGACCTGAGACCCTCAGGGCAGCAGTTGCCCCAGACAGAGATGGTTCATAGCCAGGTGGCTTGAGTCAGGGGCCCAAAGAGGAGGTGAAGGTCTGGGCCTACCCTCCAACCAAACAAGACCCAGGCGGTGTCCTTGGGAAGATGTGGGGGCGAGGAGGAGGAGGAGGCTGGTGGGTCCTACCAGGTTGGGGGGGAGGTGAGAGAAAATGCGCCCCATACCACATAGAGAGGGAGCAATAGAAAACCAACTCTGCTTTCTGTGGTCCCTGGGCCTGCGCCTTCCTCTTTCTGGGCCTCAGTTCCCCATCTGAGAAAGCAGGTGTTTGGCCTGGGTGACACCCAAGCACTCAAGAGGGAGGGGTTTCCCTCACCTGTGATGGGGAGGGGTCTTAGCTGGCTGCCCAGGGCTCCAGGAGACACTGGCTGTTCTCTGTTGGCCTAGTGGCTGCTGGGCCAACCCAGGGGGCACAGGACCACCCACAATCTCTCCCATCACTGGGAGGGAGGCCTTCCCTGTGTGGGGTACCATCACTTTTAGTGGGTCCCACACTGTCCCCTTCCGAAGAGCCTGTCACTCAAGGACCACCCATGCCTGGAGTACCTGGCGGCCACCTTTCAGGTCTGATGACTGCTGGGAGGTTTAGAGGGGAGCCCACCAAAGTCACTCTTAGGGCCTGGGTCCTGCCGGAGCCTCTGGTAAGACATTCTCTTCGTCCCTGTGGACCAAGAATCTGGGCCATCTCCCAGACCACACAGCGTCTGGGGCAGGTGCCAGGGCCTAGGGGGGCCTCAATGCCTCACCGCCAGCAGCTGGAGCTAGAGAAACTGTGTCGCCTTGAGGTGGGGCAGGGCCGTGGGTATGGTAGGCCCCATTTCCCAGAGGTGACCACTGAGGGCCCAGGGCAGGGCTCACACGGGAAGGAGAAGTGGTCCAGGACCCCAGCTACAGGAGACCCAAGGGGAGGGCGGGGGGGGGGGGGGCGGTGGGAAGCATTCTCCCCAGCCTCTTGGGGACACCCATTCACCTCCATGGACACCCCCACTCCTTGCCTGGATGAACTGTGGGCTTCTCCCCAACAGACTCTGTGGTGCTTGGGGGGGCAAGACCCCCCACTCAGTCCTCACAGTTTCCCGGGAGCCAAGTGCCAGCATCTCCTTGGGATAATTCAGAGATTGAGGCCCAGAAAGGGGCAGTGGCTTGCCGGGAGTGGCCGGGCCAGAGAGACAGTCAGCGGAGAGTTCAGCTTTGGGACCGTTCACCCTATGGCTTGGGCTTCTATTCCCGAAAGAACGAAGAGAAGGAGCTGGAAACGGCTCAGTCCTTCCTCACTCACGTTGGAGCCTAAGGCTCAGAGAGGAACCATGTCACACCAGAGTTGGTCCCCAACACCCAGGGCACCCTGTCGCCCCTCACCCAGTACAGGTTTTCTCCCGTGCTCTGCAGCATTTCCTCCTCCTGACATCCATCTCTTCCCCTAACTAGGAAGACAACCCACCCCACAGCCTCTGAGGTTGCCAAGGAGGATGTGTCCACGTATCACTTGGCAATAGAAGCAAATCTTGGCTGGAGAACGTTTTCCTCTCAGAGCAGCGAAGGGGAAATAAAGCCGTGCCTGGTAAACTGAGGAGCGAGTGAGTGCACAGGTGCGGCCACTGCTCCTCAAGCTGCACCCCTGCCCGCTGCGGCACCCCTGCACGTAGACAGCCCTGCGCCCTGGCCGAGAGGATGCGCATGGCCGCCTCTTTCCCAGCCGAGCTGCGCGGCCTCCGCCTCTCCTCCTCCCCGCTCTCCGGGGCTCCCTAACCCTGGCCCAGGCCCCTCACTTTCCTAGCTGAGCCCTCCGGCACGGCCCCTCGCGGCCCGCTGGCTCCTGCGCCTCTGGTCTCTCTGCGCACGTCTCGAGTCCCAGGCACCGTCACATCTCTGCCTCGCATCTGGTGTGGCCCTCTCTGTCTCGCTCTGGCCCCTCTCTCACCTTTCTCTGGATCCCTCCGCTCCCATCTCTGGGGGTCTCGTCTCCCGAGCTCTCCGGCTCTCTCCTTCCTGGGCGTGCGCTCCGCTGGGTCTCCCTCGGTCTGGGTCGGCCGGCCCCTCTCGCGGCCCCCTCCCTCCCACCTCCCTCCCTTTGCGGTCCCTCCCTGGGGCTCGGCCTGGGGGTAGGGGGCGGTGGCGCGGGGCGGGGCGGCCGGGCGGGGCGGGGCGGGGCGGTGACGCGGGGCCGGCTGGGCAAGAGGCGCGGCGGCGCGGGGCGGGGGCGCAGTCCCGGGTCCGACCGGCCGAGCCCCGCGCGCCCCGCCCGCGCCCTGCGCCTCCGCCCGGCCGGCCGGCGGGGGAGGGGGCATGAGCCGGCGCCCGCGCGCCGCCGGGAGCTGCGGGCCGGCCTAGAGCCCCGCGCGGGCCCCGCGCCCGAGCCGCCGCCGCCGAGCCGCGGGCGCCGCGATGCAGCGGCCGGGGGAGCCGGGCGCCGCGCGCTTCGGGCCGCCCGAGGGCTGCGCCGACCACCGGCCGCACCGCTACCGCAGCTTCATGATCGAGGAGATCCTCACCGAGCCGCCGGGGCCCAAGGGCGCCGCGCCCGCCGCCGCCGCCGCCGCCGCCGCGGGCGAGCTGCTCAAGTTCGGCGTGCAGGCGCTGCTGGCGGCGCGGCCCTTCCACAGCCACCTGGGTACGTGCGGGGCCAGGCGCGGCCGGCTCGGCGGGAGGGAGCGAGCAGGGGCGCCTCGAGGACGCAGCTCCGGGCGGGCGCGCAGGCCCGGCCGCCCTCTCCGCGCGCTCCGGCCGGGAGCCGAGGGGCAGGCGCGGGCCGCGCGGAAACCAGGCCTCGTGCCCGCGGGCCGGGCGGCCGGGAGGGCGTTCCTCTGTCCTACGCTGCGGCCCTGCAGCCTCCAGCCCGGAGGAGGGCTCCAGGCCCGGGGCCCGAGCCCGCATTCGCGTCGCGGCGCGGGAGCAGACCCCTAACGTCAGACTGCGGGTCAAAGGACCTCGGGCCGCCGGCGCCTGGGCCTGCGCCGCAGAGGGCTGGCGGGAGCGGCCGCGGTTGCCCGAGGCGAAGAAGCCGGGCCATGGGGGAGAGGCCCGTGTCTCCGAGTGCTGTGCTGGGGGCTGACGCTAGCTCAAGCCGGCCTGGAGTCCCCCGGAGACCGGGGTCTCAGGCGGGCACCCAACCGTCCTCTGCCGCACCGCCGAACCCATAGCCTTGCCTGGGGACAGGAGGCCTGGCTGTGAGCAGCCCGGCTGGCCCTTCCGCTCCAGGTCGGCTGCGTCTCCGTGGAACTCGGGCTGCTGCTCTGGCCCTTTCTGCCCCCGCAGGTTCTCTTCCTTCCCCGGCGGGGCCTGTCTGCCGTGCTGGTGCCCTCTCCACCCTCCTTCCTCTGTCCCACCTCCCCCAGGGATCCCCTCTCCCCCCGGCCCCCTCCTCACATTTACCCGCATCTTGCCGGCCCTTGCTGACTCCAGCAAGGCTAGCGCGGCCCACAGTCGAATGCCTGTCCGGGAAGGGAGGCCTCCGATGCTCGAGGGGACCCCAGCCCCGCAAGCTGCCTTCCTCAGCGCCCCGCGACCCTCTGGCCGGTGCTGCACGCACCCCGGGGGCGGCAGGGCCAGTGGGTTCGTTTTAAGGCCGTCTCTGACGCAGCCTCTCCGCTGCCTTTTGCCTCCAGCTGCACTGTGGTTAATAATTCGTTTGAAGCGGGCAAAAAGAAAAATCGCTTTAGAACTAATGAAAATGGAAACACGTTCTTGGGGAAGAGCCTAAGCAGTGAAAATAGGAAGGGCAGTTTCCCAGTTCAGGGTGCTTTGGAGTTTCCGGGAAGCCCCAGCCCCACTCTTGCTGCCGCCGGGCCGCCCGCCTCGGCTTGGCTGCTGTGCCGGCGCAGAAGAGGGATGTGCGCGCTCCAGGGGTAGTCTTTCCTCCAGACGCAGCAAGGCCGATTTGCTTGGGGCAAATTCTCATCTTCCTAACTCGCTGCCATTTCTTCTTGGTTTCCCTTTTCTGTGAAAGACACGCTCTGTGCGCCTGGGAAGTGAGACTTTGTTCATTGAGAATCCAAAAATCCCGGAGACGCTGGGGCCTGGGGAACGCTGGGCAGAGCCGGGGATGGGGGAGGTCCGGGGACACTGGTGTTGAAGAGGGTCACCTTAGGCGGGTGGCCCAAATCTAGCGCTTCGCGTCCAGACAGGAAAGTTTTGTGCTGAGTGCCACTGGCCAGGCGCGAGCGCCGGGGCGGCGACGGCGGCGGCGGCTGGTGCCGGGGTCTCCTGGAGGAGGAGACCGGCCCGAGCTCAGGGGCTCCCCGCTCTCTCTCCCTGCAGCCGTGCTGAAGGCCGAGCAGGCGGCGGTGTTTAAGTTCCCGCTGGCGCCGCTCGGTTGCTCCGGGCTGGGCTCGGCGCTGCTGGCTGCGGGGCCCGGACTGCCCGGTGCCGCGGGCGCGCCGCACCTGCCGCTGGAGCTGCAGCTGCGCGGGAAGCTGGAGGCGCCGGGCACTGGGGAGCCGGGCACCAAGGCCAAGAAGGGGCGTCGGAGCCGCACGGTGTTCACCGAGCTGCAGCTGATGGGCCTAGAGAAGCGCTTCGAGAAGCAGAAGTACCTCTCCACACCCGACAGGTAGCGCGCGGCCAGGCCGAGCCCAGCGGGTGGGGGAGGGGGCTGCTGCCCTGCTGAAGGTGCACCCCGCTCTTTCCAGAATAGATCTCGCGGAGTCCCTGGGCCTGAGCCAGTTACAGGTGAAGACGTGGTACCAGAACCGGCGGATGAAGTGGAAGAAAATAGTGAGTGTGCCCCTGGCTTCTGAGCGCTGCTTGGTGCCCTTGTGCCCTGTAAGAGCTGCTCTCCGTCCACAGTGGAGACTTCTGCCCAACCCTCTGGATTCTGGCTTTTCTCCGTGCCTGGTGCCCACAGGGACCCTCTCCGCTCTCTCTGTCCCTCTGGGTGACCTAGGACAGACCTCATTCCTTTGTGCTGCGCTGCACCCTGAGGCCTGTGGCAGCCTTGAATCCCTCGGCCAGAGCCTCTGGTTGCTTTTCCCCAGCGGTGCTCAGACAAATGGCTGCCACTTCCCCGGGGCTAGGTGCGGCCTCCGGTGGCCTTGTCGGGCCCTCCAGGACCTGCCTGGGCACAGGGCGCCGCGTCCCGGGTCCCCGGTCCCAGCTCACAGTGGTGCCGGCTGTCCCCCGCGCAGGTGCTGCAGGGTGGCGGCCTGGAGTCTCCCACCAAGCCCAAGGGGCGGCCCAAGAAGAACTCCATCCCCACAAGCGAGCAGCTCACGGAGCAGGAGCGCGCCAAGGAGGCGGAGAAGTCGGCGGAGGCGCCAGGCGAGGCCAGCGACAGGAGCCGCGAGGACTGAGCGCGGCAAGGGGTGCGGCCCGGGACCCTCGCGCCGCCGGTGGCCCCCTCAGCCCGCGGGAAGCCGCGAGCCGGCCCTTCTGCACCCACGCCGTTTGCTTTCTAAACGTTTTATTATCTTGAATGCGGACAGTTAGGGGCCAAACAAGGAAGGACACAGACCCTGAAGCCAAACCCCGGCCCCGGTGCGCTCCGGGCCCTGGCCTGGAGACTGGCGTCTGGCGCTGCGGAGGGTCGCCTCTAGTCGGAGCTCCGCGGCGCCGGGCGCCCCACGCGCATTCACGCCCCGCTCCTCTCCCGCACCCCCACCCGCCTCGGCCGGTTCCGGACGCCGCCGGGCGCACTCCCGCTTCCGCGCGTCAGGGACCCCGCTGCTGGAGCAGGCCACCACGGCCGGCCAGAGACGGCGCCCGGACAGCCCGGCGCTCGGCCCTGCAGCTGGGTTCCCGACGTCGCTGGGGCCCCTACCCCTCTCTTGCGAAGACGGTGATCTTTTTTCCAATAAAATATTTTATGACACCGCGGGGCTTGATGAGGGGGTTTCTGAATCCAAGGGGGTGGGACGGCAGAGGAGGCGGCGAGGAAACAGGGACACTCGCAGTGGCTTCTAAACCCTCGTTTCCCGGGGCTACATGGAAGCGAGCTGTGACCTGCTCCACTGGCTCAGGGAGCTCGGTTGCTGCGGATCCTAGGAATCGCTTCCACTCTGCGCATGAGGGCCAGGCTGAGCCCCCTGCCCTCCTTCCCAGGCCAAAAGCCACCGCGGGGCTCTCTGGGGAAGTGGTTGGGGCTAGAGCTGCTCCAGTTGTTGGTTCAGTCTCCTGGGACATGAAGGCCCGACTGTGAGGTCCTTCAGATGGTCGCGGCCAGCCATTCCTGAAGCCGACAGGGAGCCGAGGACTGGACGTTCACACAGAGGCCCGCCGCCAGCAGCAGCCCAGTCCGCAGCGGCGCCTGCCTTCGGTTTTCGTTTTCCGCGGTGCACGCAGGGCAGAGGCGCAGGCCGCGGAGTCCCGGCTCTGGGCATGAGGACCCCTGACCCAGGCAGAGGACCCCGAGCTCCCGCAGGCGCCCTGTCCAGGGCCGCAGCTTGGTGGCACGTGCCCGCAGGCGCCCCTCTGCACGCGGAGGGCTTCAGTCGTCTTCTCTCTGGTCTAGGCTGGTCTCCGAGCTCGCGCGCGGGTTCCTGTCCTTGCGGCTTCCTAGGAAGACAGTGACGGAGGTATGGGGATGGAGACATGGCCACTTTGCTGGTTAAAGCGCAGGGAGTGACCCCAACTTGGCCCTGCAGAGTTCTAAGCGGGACCAGGATTCCACCAGGCCCTCCAGGAGCGAATACAAGGGAAAGAGGAACGTCGTGCTCGGGCGCCGGCTCCGCGCTGCAGAAACTGAAAAGGGCTTTCAGGGCCTCGGCCTGCGATGGCTACAGCTTCCTTTTCAAATCGTGGCTTAATCGTCCCTTCCTGAAACCTGCGCTTGGATTTCCGGTCCCGAGCATCTCGGGCCTCGGTTTAGGCCCGAGGAGGGAGAAAGACAGTGCTTTCCGAGGGCTGCAGGCGATTCTCTGCGCGCCTCTGCCCCGCAAGTTTGGGAAACCAGCTCCCGCTCGAGGCTCTTAACCTTGCAAACAGCTCCCAGACTGCTGGCCGGCCCGCGTCCCCTGAGGGGCCCGAGAAAACCTGCGCGACCCTGACGCGTGGGAAGGAACGGATCATCAGTGTGTGACTGCGCCCCTAACCCCTTCTGGCCCTGAGAGTTACCCCGGGGTCGGCTCAAGGTAGCGGTCCTCCGGTGACCCTCCCGCGCGGCCCGGCGGGCCGAGTGAGGCGCAGGGCTGCGTGTAATCCTCCCTGCTTCAAAGGGGAGGGTGGCGCGGTCCCAGCAGCTGCCCCAGGTGGGCCTGGGCGACCGAGAGTCCAGCCACGGCCTTTGTTAGCCACGAGGAGTTGTAGAAGAAAGGAGAGTGTAAGAGGAGAGAGTGTAAGAGGAGAGAGGTCCGCTCTGGGTCCTCAGGTTTTCAGGATCTGACCTTAGGCAGATTGCCCTCGGTTCCGCGGCGTTTCCCCAAGACGCCCTCACTGCACTGGACGAAAGGGCCGCCAAGGACCAAGACTCTAAATGAAGGGGGGGCGGGGGGAGGCGTCCGGCGAATCCGGCTGCAGAGCACAAAGCCCCCAATACTCCAGAGACTATGGCCCCTCGGCCCCTCCAGGTACAGATGGGGAACCTGAGCGGGCACTGCTGTCGCGAGGTCACCAGCCGGTCAGGGGTGAGCTGGGCCCCAACGAGGGGTCTGGGTTCCAGCGCAGGCGGGGGTGGAAGGGGTTTCTGTCACCGCCTGCGCCGCTGTGCTCCTCTGCGGACAGGGGACCGGCGACCGCAGCAGACGAGCTCTCGAGGCCGGGGGAGGAGTGGGCGGCCGGGGCTTCCTTGCTTGGGGGTCCCTGTGACCCCACGGGATCTCGGGGGCAGCCAGGAGAAGCAGAGGCGCGGAGGCGAGCCATCTGACGCCGACCTGAGACTTCGCGCACGGCCCGCGGGGCCGGGACTCGGCGTAAAGGGCCGCATCCCATCCACGGAGGAGACGGGTGCGCCCGGCCCGCGTGCCACCCGCCCGGGCCACCCAGCGCGGAGACCCCTCCCCGCCCGGAGCAACCGCGCCCCCACTGCAGGCCGGGGCTCGAGGTGGGAGGGTCCCCTCGCCCCCTCGCCCCCTCCGCCTCCCCGCACATCTCTCCTCAGCCCCAAGGTCCTGGGAAACAAAACCCGGAGGCCGCGCAAGAGAGAACTGGGTCGCGGCTGCGCCTCCGGAGCTGGGCAGAGGCCGGGGAGGGAGCGGGCTCGGGCGTCTCGCGAGAGCCAAGGCCCTGCGGTGCGGGTGGGGGAGGGGGTTGGGTGGGGGTAAGTGGGGGTAGGTGGCGGGGAGGGGAGCACCCGCGGCGGCCGCGACCCTGGGGACGGGCAGGGCCGGCGGCGCTCCGGGGCGGGCGCGAGATGCGCGCTGCGTGCGCTGTCTTGGGAGGAGGGCTGGGCCGTCAGAGGGACTTTGGGGAGGGCTGGCTGAAGGACCGGGCCGGGGCAGGGGGCCTCTGACCCTGACCCTGAGCCAGTCGCTCTCCGGGTCGGCGGAAGCGGCGGCCTGGCACCGCGGGCGGCGCGGGAAGCGTCTGGGGAGGGGCGGGCCCGCCACGCCGGGGTCCGCAGCGGGTCCAGAGACTCGGCGCTGGTTCTCGCGGAGCCGGGCGCAGCGTGGGCGGCGGCTCCCCACCCTCCCCTGCCATCCCACCTTGTAAACATAAAGGCCACTCTGGTTTATTCCCTTTCCCTGGCTTGATTTCTCTTCGAGGGTCCCTGGTGGGAACCCAGAAGATGGACGAAAAGAAACGCAGGCCCCGGGCCACGCTAATGGCGGCCAGGTGCGAGGCTTGCGACTCCTGGAGTGGAGGGCGCGCTCTTATCGTACCTACCGGGAAACTGAGGCACGGAGCCGCGCGGCCTCTCAACCTGGAGTGAACACCACTTCCCGGCTCTTCCCAAGCCCCAGGATCCGAGGAGAGACCAGGCATCCCCTTCGTTTTGGGGCGCCTTATTTCATTTCTACGATCAAGGGGAGCCCTGCCCCAGCAGTGACACCTCTGATCCCCCTGGAGATCCTGTGTCCAGAGAGGGGACCAGCTGACCCCCAGAGCCTCTGCCCCAAGGCCTCTCCAGGGGCTGTAGCCAGGCCAAGGAGGACCACAGACGCCAGTCCAGCCCCTCCAGCTCAGCCTGGGCCTGGGCATTTGGAGCTGAAGGGAACTTCCCAAACGCCACCTTCCCAGCCTTACTCCAGGGAAGTAAGGGAGCCCGGACTCCTCGCTCCCTGTGGGTGGGCAGGGCAGGAAGTTGACAACAGCCACAGGCGGTAAGCTGCGAGTCAGCCTGGCTCTGGGCCGAGCTCTCGGCTGGCCCTGGTCCCTGGGCCGCTCCACACACATGGTGCAGTGGACGGCAGTCCTTCTCTTGTGTGAGGGAAGCCTGGAGGAGGCAACCCACCACAGGCCTCCCCACCCAGGCCTCCCCGCCGGCCCCTCCCCAACTGTGCAAGGGCGTCTCCCTTGTGCGCTTCATCCTAAGTCTCTATCACTGCATCTCATCAACTTGAAGACAGCATCTTCCCTTTTCTGAAATCTGGGTTCACCTGACAGTTGAGGGGGTGTCCCAGGTGCTGCGGGCCCCGTGCCTGCAGGATGCGACCGTCCCCATTGCAGGTGTCCCAGTTGGACAGCGGTGGCCCCTCCCCTCTCTGGCACCAACCCTCGAGGGAGAAAGCCAGGAAGCCTTCAGCTGAGCGGGACCTTCCGTGAGGCTGAGGTGCAGGGGACAGGGCAGCAGCAGGGAGGGAACTGGGTGGCTCACCGTCAAGGCCAGGCCTGTGGGGCAGGGCAGGGCAGGCGGCTCTGACCTCGAGCAGGTTTTGGGTCACCTCAGTCCACTGGTTTCCTGGTAGTTTCTTTTACATATAAACTCGGAAGTGATCTGTGCTGGAAACCTATGTCTTAATAGGCGCTAAAGAGATCTTTGATAAAAATCCCAGGTGATAGGAGAGCACTGGGTCGTGGCTTCCTTGGCCATGTTTTTTAAACTTTCTTTCTTAGTGATTCAGGAAAGAACGGCATCTGACATCAGCGGCGTCATGGACTCTCATATTAATCAAGCACTTATTTGGACCACTCACTCATGTGACAAGCAGTTACTGAGTGTGGCAGGGGCTCCCAGCGCTGGGACACAGGACTCACCCGTCGTTGATCCACTGACTGCTCAGTAAGGTGGGTGCCGGACTCCTGTTTTGCATGCACTGATACAGCTCAGAGATGTGAGGCAACTTGCCCAGGGACACACAGCTATTAGCAGCAGAATTCGGATCTGACTTCAGCTCTGTGAGTCTCCACTGCCCCTCTCTCAGCAGCCTTGAGGTTTGGCTTGGGGTGTCCCAGATGCCTCAGGGTCCCCAACAGCCTCTGCTTCTGGGAATGAGTCTCATCCACTTGTTCACCCCTTATTTATTAAATGCCTGCTGTGTGCCAGGCAAGGAGCTCACGCTGGAAGTGAGGAGCCTTGGGTAGAAGGCGCAGAAGCCACAATTAAATGCACAAGATGATTTCAGGGAGTGACAGATGCCTTCTAGAAAATAAAGCAAGTGATAGACAATGGGGGGGTGCTTTAGTCAGAGTGGTCAGAGAGGGGGTCTCTCAGGAGCAGACCATTCGGTTGAGACCTGACTGACAAGTAAGAGTGTGTGCCAGGCAGCAGCGTAGCAAGTGCAAAGGGCCTGCAGCAGATAGGATGTTGGTCCAGAAGGCACGGGAGGAAGGTCAGAGCGGTGGGAACCAACATGGAGAAGTGGGCCGGGTAGTGGGTGAGGGGGCGAGGAGGCGGGCCCTGGCGCTGTCCGGAAGGCGGCGGGGAGGAGGCAGCAGCCTGACTCCCGCCTAGGGGGAAGCCTCCGCCAGCCCAGCCCCTCCTCGTTCATTGCGGCCA